CACACTCGTAATCTTCTGGTAGGTGAAGGGCCGAACGAGAGCTTCAGGTAAATGCTTCAGAGGGGGGAGGTACCTGCAAAAGGCACTCTGACGCTCAAGTCAGGATAAGCGCAATTCTCGAGAGTAATAAATGAACAGTGACATACCTCGTTTTAAATAACCTATTTATGCTACTTGTCATGGGCCCTGAGTGTGATGGGCTTCTTCTGACATTTACCAAATTAGGTAATACGATGCTAATTGGCTAATTATGCCTTAATTACGCGTTTTCCCTTATTAATCATGATCATCGTCCTAACTGCTCTGACCCTGTCGGCCCTTGGCCGAGCCGAAAGGGAACGGTCGAAACAACCTCTTCGTTCTCGGCCTTTGGCCAAGCCGATAGGGAAAGCGTTGGGTTCTCCATAGTTCTCGGCTCTTCGTCGAGTCGAAGGCGTGTCCGAACTGCGTCAATATCTGATAGGTCATGACGTGTCGATCTCCGTAACCGATATGTCTCTTATACCGATATCCAATAAGACATCACGTGTCAATCCACGTGACCAATAGAACCCTTCCGATACATATACTATTTCGATTTTAGCGTCAGCCATTTGTTTAAAAATACTTACCACTAAAATATTTGACATAATATAGTTACATAAACTTTTTTTTAATCAATACTAAATAATGTTAGCTTAACCGACAATAAAGTTAACACTATAATGCATCGTGTTTAACAGTCTTTTGTTTTTAATTTAATTATTTCTTTAGCATCGATCAAAGTTGGCATTATATTATTATTATTTTTTAAATTTTTTTATACTTATTCTTGGGTTGGTCAACTCTTATTTATTTTTTTCATTTAGAGTTATCAAACCTGACTCTAAACTATTTCTTTTATCATATCCTTTATTTTAAGATGTGGTAGTTGACTTAGAGTGGCTTTGCCTAGTGTTGTTAAAATCGCAAGTTACCTTCTAAGATCACATGATTTTATGGTTTGTATAAGGTATTCCGTGCTGGATCGTAAACGAAATCATGGTGGAGTAAGATCGTGATCTTTCGCATGATTTGTGAGATCTTTGATCTCTAACAATTCAAATAAATAAAAATGAAAATGAAATATTATGGCAAATATCTTCAATCTTGCATCAATAACCCTAACTTGATATGCATGCATTTCTTCTTCTATAATTCTATTTATTATGCTATATCGCAGCACGTGCACCGCAATCCTTCCCATGTTTGTTGTCCTGTTCTTTTTTTTTTTTTCTTCTTTTCTTTTAAGTTTGTCATGTCTCACTTTTTTTTTCTTTTAAGTTTCAAACATATATCTAAAAATTTGAAAGTCTCCACCGTCAATAATTCATTTTTTATTTTCTTGTTTATATAATTTTTACTTTAACTTTGATGGGATTATTTTATGATATTTGTTTGAGCGGATATTTTATGATCACACAACTTCATAATGATGAGATATTGTCTGCTTTAGGCCTAAGTCCTCACAGTTTTGCTTTAAGGTCATCGCCCAAAAAGCCTCTCAATCATTAGAATATGTTCGTGTTTTATAAGTTGTTATTTCTTGTCTTATTTTATCGATGTGGGACTTGTTTGTATCCCAACAATTCTTCCTTCAAATAAGGGACCTAACCTTTCATGCCTATATTATCAGTTATGAGTTATGAGGGACTTAACCTAACACACACACACACACATACACACACAGAGACACACAGACACACACACACACACCCACACACACACACACACCCACATACACACACCCACACACACACACCCACACCCACACCCACACCCACACCCACACACACACCCACACCCACACACACACACCCACACCCACACACACACACACACACACACCTACACACACACACAAACACACACACACACAGAGACACATACACACACACACACACACACACACCTACACACACACACAAACACACACACACACAGAGACACATACACACACACACACACACACACACACCTACACACAGAGACACACAGACACACACAGAGACACACACACACTCACAGAGATACACAAACACACACACACAGAGACACACACACACACACACAGACACACACACACAGACACATAAACACACACAAACAGACACACACACGAACACATACACAAAGACACACAGACACATACACACAGACACAGACACACATACACACACACACACAAACACACACATAGAGACACACAGACATACACAGACACACACACCCACACACACACAGAGACACACACAGACACAGACACAACACACACAGAGACACACACACACAGACACACACAGAGACACATAGACACACACAGACACAGACACATAGAGACACACAAACACACAGACACACAGACACAGACACACACACACACACACACAGACACACAGAGACACACAAACACACACAAACATACACACACACAGACACACAAACACACACAGAGAGACACAAACACACAGACACAGAAACATAGAGACACACACACACACAGAGACACACACAGACACACACACACACAGACACAGTCATAGAGACACACAAACACACAGACACACAGAGACACAGACACACACACACACAGACACACACAAACACGCACACACACACACACACACACACAGACACACACATAGAGGCAGACAGACACACACAAACACACACATACACACACCCACACACACACACACACAGACTCACCCAACCACACACACACACACCCACCCACCCACACAGACACACCCACACCCACACACACACAGACACACACCCACCCACCCACACACACACACACACACACACACACACACACCCACACACACACGCGCACGCACACGCACACGCACACGCACACATTCTTCACACACATTCTTCACACACACACACACACATTCTTCACTTATTTATTTCTGTCAAAAACTCATGACTCAATACCTTCAATAAAGTTAAACCTAATGTATACACGAGCATGGGTGTAGAAAAACGGACTTAGAAAAGGTAATCTCTAGAACACTTATACATATTTTATTAAATAATTTATAGATAAACAAGGAGAATAAAAATTAAAAATATATATTTCAATAAACTTACTTAATGGTTTCGATAATCATACCAATGTTTTTTTTTCCTACCATTTTCTTCGAAAGAAAATATTTAATAAATGACTTTTAAATGCAAATTTTAACATTTTTAGTTAATAGATAAAATTCGTGTGATGTTTATGTAAAGTTATCTATCTATCTATATATCGTTCACACACATTCTTCGCTTATTTATTTATGTCAAAAACTCATGACTCAATACCTTCAATAAAGTTAAACCTAATGTATACACGAGCATGGGTGTAGAAAAACGGACTTAGAAAAGGTAATCTCTAGAACACTTATACATATTTTATTAAATAATTTGTAGATAAACAAGGAGAATAAAAATTAAAAATATATATTTCAATAAACTTACTTAATGGTTTCGATAATCATACCAATGTTTTTTTTTTTCCTACCATTTTCTCCGAAAGAAAATATTTAATAAATGACTTTGAAATGCAAATTTTAACATTTTTAGTTAATAGATAAAATTCGTGTGATGTTTATGTAAAATTATCTATCTATCTATAAATCGTTGACTTCATTTTCTTATTTGACAGGTCAAATATTAATTTTATAGAAATTTTTTTAGAAAGATTTATTGCCTTGAAAATACATTAATAAAATTAGTTCTATATTACTATTATTAGAAAAATATGTTTTAAAACATATTACACAAATGGTTTTTTTTTTATTACAATTATACTTAGAATATACTATCTTCATTCGATCCTTATTATAAGACATTTTTAACATAAATTTATAGATTAATAGAAGTAATTATGTTAGTTGAATTTATAAGACAATATCATGGTGGACCAATTTTATCCTTCTTATGTATCATTAAATTTTCATTGAAGAGGTGAAAATATTAAGAGGTAAGAGAGAGCATTTATAACTCAAATTCTCTTCTCATTATCCAACAACAACAAACACATTCTCATGAGTCTTTATTATTGACAAAAAATAAAAAATAAAATTATTGTTTTATAGAAATGGTAGAGTATCTTATATAAAAGATTACAATTTTTTTATATATATAAAACGGTGTCTTATAATACGAGCAGGAGGGAATTTATAAATTATTTATTAAAAAAATTTACTTATAAAATTTATTTATTAATTTTGTAGATAAATGAGATGAAAAAAAAGGAAAACTATATTAAAGAACCTTTATATACCGAACTCAAATATGGTATCATTATTTTCTCACGTATTTTCTTTAATTCAGAGTATAGTTTAATCAACACAGTTTTGATCATATTTTTCTAACATTCAATTCTTTATTGAATAAAATAGACAATTCTCTTAACACATTTTTTTTATACCAAATTCTATTTTATTATAAATAAAATTCACTTAATAAAACGGGTCTAATCGAGTTCCTCTTTTCAATTAACAACTTTAAATAACTTTGACCTAATTAAATAGACCATTAAAAGTACAACATTAAAAATAATATATTATTAACATATTAACTTCATTATGACAAGTGTATTTATAAAGTAATTCTCTCTTTAGATAAATTTAGTCATAAATTTTTAATAAATGATTTAAAATTCTTTGACTAAACCCTATCTTAAATTATATTCCCTATTTAACAAAAAAAAAAAAATACTCCAAAATTTATTGCTTTGTATACGAGAGAATCCCCGGTTTGAAATCTTACAGTGCCACCCACTGTTTCCATACTTGATAAACCTTCCTCATATGAAGCCTATCAATGCCTATCAACTAAACTTCACACTATAAAAAGATAGAACTTCACACCATCACAATCAAACCATATATGTTCACCTCTTAAAAACATTTCTTTGTCACCCTTTTCATTCCATACCCCTTTTATAACTTCTCTTTCTCTCATTCCAAGTGCACTTGTTTGTTGCAATGAACACCAATCCCATGATGTTCTCCTCCGACACTGATTCCACCGTGTCCTTCCAGTGTCAGCCACCACCATCCGCAAACCATTCCACCACCGCATCCTCATCCAACAGGAATCCACGTGGCAGGCCCTTGGGCTCCAAAAACAAGCCCAAGCCCAACACCATGAGCATAACCGAGCCCAGTGCCAAGATTGCCCTAATCCACGTGCCCCAGGGCCACAACGTGGTTGAGTCCATCATGGACTTTGCTAATCGTGAACATGTCAGCGTGACAATTCTCAGTGGAAGCGGCACCATTGCTAGTGTCACCCTCCACCACCCGTCACGTGACTCAACCGCGTTCACGCTGCATGGGCCTTTTGCCTTGGTCTCTTTCACTGGAACATATGTTTACAATGACCATTATACCCTTAACACTGGAGCCACCCCTCCCCCTCGCATGGCCTTCGGAATCAGCCTCTGCACCGCTCATGGCCAAGTCTTTCAGGGTGTTGTCGGTGGCAAAGTCATTGCTGGCAAGTCCCTTAGCCTCACTGTGTCCACCTACAAGAATCTCGAGATTTACAAGTGTCATCATGAGGTGAAGCAGGACAACAACTAAAATGATAATGATAATAATGACGACAACAATACTAGAAATCTTGGTGGGGGTGGCAGTCTGTCGAGCTACTAGTTCAACATTGTCGCTCGTTGGAGAAGGATGTTATTCAAATAACTTAATGCAACGAAGAACCCTCTCAACTTGTTATGTTTTAACTTTTGTTTTGTTTTTGTTTTAAATCAGTTAGGTCTTTCTTGAAGTTGCCAATTGTTACAATGTGGTATCAGTGGGGTGGAATAAGGGGAGGGTTCAGTTAAATGCTTTATTTGATGGTGTTATGTGTTTAGGGTTTAGGTTTAGGTGTTATTTGCTGAGTTATGTGTGTTGGCTTATCTATATTAAATGGATATCTTTCATTAATCAATTCCTTTTCTTTCTTTCTTTCGTAATTAATTTAATTTTCTTTCATGTGTTTTCTGTCTTTTAGAGAATTGAGTTAAAACGTGAGAGAATGATTGTTTTTAGAATTACTGGATTGGACTTGTATGGGTTTGACGGTGGAAATTGTAGTTTGTGGACTTGTGTGTGTGTCAATGGTGGAAATCGAAGGTTTTGTTTGTATTTGCTGTTATGTGGAGTTGCTAATAATATTGGTGTGAATCAGTGGTTGTTATGGAATAGTACTTTTACGTAGATATATACTTTAGTTGTTTTCTGCATTGTAATTTAGTGTGTTAATTAAATTTGATAAAAAAAAAACGTGGAACTTGTTTTAAAAAAATCTACAGAATATTCAAATAAATTTTGTCACATGATAATATGATTTGAAATTGCAATTCAAAACATGAAGTTGAAATGAGTTATTTATTTATTTAGTATTTCATTCTAGTGTATTTTAGGATTTTTTTTTTGTGTTAATTTTAAAATTCACCTTAATTCTGGCTTGTCAATTTCTTTGAAATTCTTCAAATTTTTCATTTCAATTCCATTTGAGTTCAACCTATTCCTAATTTAGCTTTTCTTGAATTGTCTTTAAAAATTCTTTAGTGTTATTTGTTGGTGTTAACCTTTCAGGTGAAGGAAATCAAAAAAATACTAGTGGAAAATTAGAATATTATGTCACCCATTTTACGTCGAAAATACAAACACCCGACGTAATAAAAACATGGTGGCATGTTTCGTGATTTTTATGAATTTTTTACGTCGGACCTTTAAGGATCCGACGTAAATTTTAACATCTACGTCGGCTATACATTGTGTCCGAAGTAGATTTTAAAATTTATGTCGGACCCAATTAGGGCCGACGTAAATAACCCACAGCCTGCTTAAAAGAAGGTGTGCGCGCATGGCTAGATTTGAAAAATTTCTTTCTCCCGCGCGTTGTGCACCTTCTTCTACACCTCATCCTCCGAAGCCTCCTCAAATCGTGGCTGTCCTCCTCATCTGCACCTTCTTCTATTTTTCTTCTTCGGAGGGTTGCATTGGTTTCTTCTTCGCGTGTTGATGGAAATGGCTTAACCATACGTCCAACTGTTTTTCTATGAGGTAGCATCTTCTATCAAGTTTGTGTTTTTTAGGATGTTTTTTTCGTAATAATGTTTGTGTTGCATTTCGAGTTTTTGAAGCTGGAGAAGGAAGTGACGAAGTCCGGATTTGGAGAACCTGCTCCTGGGTTTATCAAGCAGAACGGGCCGTTCTGCTTGCACTCATTTTTTTTTTTTTTAAATTATGACTTTTTTACGTCGGACCTTGGCATGTCCGACGTAAATTCACGTCAATTTTCGCGCCCCGACGTAAATTTTCGTCTCCCGCTTCTACGTCGGAAGTTTTTCTAACGTAAAAACCCCTAAAATAGCCGACGTAAAATGTGTATTGTGTACTAGTGAAATCTTACCATAAGATAACATCTTGGAATGTTGATGAAAGTCTAAGAAGGCTTACTCCTTGGTTGAAGCTTGACTTTGAGGAGTCTTGATAGTTAAACACACCAAGAAAGGAGACGTTAAGAATTGCTTTATTATTTTATTTTGTTTTTTTTTTAATTTTTCTTGTAAAAAAGCCCTTCATTGTGGAAGTGATCTTGAGGGGTTCTATGAGCCTACTCAAGACTTCCACCTTTGTTTGTAATAGTTAGTAATTTTCGTTAGACTATGAAAGTGTGTTGAGAGACTTACAAGTGTCTATCCAAACTTTTACGCTAGGATCACTACTAGAAAAATTAAAATTAGAGAGGGAACAATTAAGTTAGGATTTTAATGGATTATGCGGGACTTTGTGAACTTTGTAGAATTTTATAAATTTTTGACATAGGATAAGAATTCAAGATTTTTTTTTCATACATTCAAATTTAAAATGAGTCAAATATAAAAATAATAATAATGTCTGGATAAATAATATAATAATTGTTTGTAATATCATGTCGTTCTAAATAGAATTCACCCACATATTCATAACTACATTAGTCCTCCAAACATTAGTATTTTTTCTCTCTTGCTCCCGTGTTTTAATAATAGACTCAAAACTATGATTTTCATTAACCAGTAATGTTAAAGATAAAGGTTCGTTCATCACTTCAATTTGTAGAATTTTATAAATTTTTGACATAGGATAAGAATTCAAGATTTTTTTTTCATACATTCAAATTTAAAATGAGTCAAATATAAAAATAATAATAATGTCTGGATAAATAATATAATAATTGTTTGTAATATCATGTCGTTCTAAATAGAATTCACCCACATATTCATAACTACATTAGTCCTCCAAACATTAGTATTTTTTCTCTCTTGCTCCCGTGTTTTAATAATAGACTCAAAACTATGATTTTCATTAACCAGTAATGTTAAAGATAAAGGTTCGTTCATCACTTCAATTGAAAATTCCATAATGACATTTTTTTACAAAAAAAGTTATGTAGTTCCACACATGCTAAAAATTATTCTAAACAACATTTCAAAATTTTTATAATCTGTGATTTAAAATATTTTATTTATAATTTTATAAATGATTAAAAAAATAGTGGGACAACTACCCTACTCTCTTATAACTAAATATGTCCATTCATTTTATATCGGTACTAAAGTAGAAATTTACAAACATCAATTGGGAGAAAAAGAAATATATCTGAAATTTGTTACAAGTACAAAATAATTTTTAAAATTTTTAATTGCTTTCAATTATTCACTCGTGAAGAAATATTTTTAGTATTAAATTATAAGATATTGTAATGTCTTATGTTAATTTTATTTTTTAAAATATAAAAATCCTAATTTCATAATAAAAAAATTCATAGTAGAAAAAGAAATAAAATAATTATTGTCATAAAAGGGGAAGGATAACAATAACAAATTCAAGAAAGGGAGAGAGATCGCAGTTTTTGTGCTGAGAGGGTTTTTCTCCCAATTAAGATTCATTCTTATCTCATTCTACTTACATAAACCCTAACTCAAAATTCATCTTTTACACACACACACACACATACACATATATATATATATATATATGTATATATATATTATTCTAATAAATCTAAATTGATTACAAGGTCTTGAAGATCTATAGTTAATTATAATGATCATGATATCAATTTTAGCTTTCACCTTTCCTTTTTCTTGATGCGTGGTATAAAAAAAATTACTACTTAAAAGTTAAAATTTAAAGTATTTTTTTTGTTATATAACTGAGGAACAATCTCAATTAAATAGAGCAAAATAGAACAAGTCAATTAAAGAGAACGGAGAGAAAAATAGAGTAAGTTAATGACACTATTATTTACGTATAGAAGTTTCACCAAATAGGGAAATGGAATGGGAATAGTAGTACAGTATTATATATAAGTAGCAGTGCGGTATTATTAACAAGAGAAAAAAAATAGAGAAGACATGAGCATAGA